CCAGGGGAGTGTTTGTGTCCAGAGACCAGAGCCTTCATTAAAGGAGGGCACAGTGGTGGTGGCAGAGAAATAAGGGGATACTCCACGGGGCGGGGGTGGGGGGGGCGGTGAGATTGGGGATGGAGCCTAGTTCAGTTGCTCTTCTTCATCAGGCAAATCTTCTAAAACCAAATCTTGGAGGCTCTGGGTTTGCTTCATCTAGTCACTCAACATTCATCCAACATCTATGTTGAGCACCTACACAGAGACAGGTCCTGCTGGGTACCGGGGACTCTGAGATGAATCAGCCTCACTCTACCCTAGGGAACCTTTAATCACAACTCGTAACCAAGGGCCATGCTGCCCACAGGGAGCTATCATGGGAGTGGAACATGAAACACCTCACTGAGATCCAGTATAGTCCTCCGGGTGAAACACTCCTTTGTCAAGATCATCATTTAATATCCAATGTCTCTGAGAGGGGGTAAGGGTTTAGGGAGCACAGGGCTAGGAAAGCAGCCTTTGAAGTAAGCACAATCTCTTAACACAAGGACAGAAGACTCTTATTATCAGGTTAGAAGGACACAGAAGGGCTCATTCCAGGAGACTTACAATGCACCTCAGACATATCACTCCTGCCCAGCTTCAAACTGAGCATGTCTAAAGCTGGCTGCATCTCCTTGTCGCCACACTTGCTGTTCCTTCTGGGTTCTCATTTTAGAAAGGTCAATACCATTGACCCCACTATCCAAGCCAGTATCTTGGGTACCATCCAAGACTCCTCCCTCTCTGCTCAGCCACAGTCACTAAGCCCTTCATGTGTCCCTCTTCTTAATATCTCCAGACTCCTCCTCCTCCTTTTCAATCCCACAGCAATAGGTTTTAATGGTTTCCCAGCCTTTATCCTGGCTCTCTCCAAATTCATCCTCCTAACAAGCTCTAGAGGAATTTTTCTGAAATTCAAACCCGATCCTATCACTCACTTGCTTACAATCCTTCAGTGGCTCCCCATTCCCATCAGAATATAATCTAAATTTCTCTATGCATCCTAACTCCCCTCTGCTGGTCCATCTGCCCTGAGTACCAGCCACATTGGGTGACTTGCAGTCTCCTGAGTATGCCTCCCTCTGGAGGCAGACACACATGCTGTTTCCTCTGCCTAGAAACCCCTCCCTACCCTGGGCACCTTTGTGAATCAGTTCAAGTGTTGCCTCCTGGGTTGGGCTCCTCTTATGGGCTCCCACAGCTCTGTGTCTCCCTCCATAAATGCACCTACAACAGCTGTCTGTAAATGCCTGTCTCCCCCAGGCTGTGAGCTCCTTGGGGGTGGGCACCCGCTCTGGTATGTTTGTATTCCCAGTGCCCAGCACAGGGCCTGGCATACAGATGGAGTTCAGTGAGGAATGACACTCAGGTCATGGTGGGTCTCCCTGATTCTCTGCTTGTAGATTCTGTGGGCAGAAGTCCACGAGGATGGAAGGAATGAGGCTGTCAGCATTTGGAAACAAGTCCAGAAACTTCCCTAGCAGTTTAGATGACTCGGGTTGAGTGATTATGATTATGTAGGTGACAGTGAAGGTCAAGAGTAGAAACACATTTAAAGCTATTAGGGTAGATGCCTCCAGGTACTGCAGTGTTTGTAACTGGACACAGTGACACCTGAAGTCAATTCTGAACCAGATTCAAACAATGTTTGTAGGGGCTATGCTACATACCAGATACTGTGCTAGGTGCTTTCACATAGCTTATAAGTAGAGAAACCATATAATTTATCATTCAAACCAGAATGCTTTTAAGTGGAAGTATTAGTAAATATTCCAGAACAACATGTATGAACCACAGCTGCCCCAGGCAAGCCAAGACTTTTGACCACCCTAGCTATAGTTCCCACATTGTCCTTTTATTTATTTTTTAACCCTCGACACAGTATATAAGACTAAATTTCTCAGTATTTACTTGTTTAATGTCTATTTCTCCAGTAGACTGCAAGGGCTAGGGTTTTGTTCACTACTACAATCCCATTGCCTGGTACACAGAACTAGAACTACTCGATAAATATTTGTACTAGGAAAGGAGAGTGGGAGGGAGGAAGAGAGGGAGACAAGGGTGAAAGCTGAGATTCTATTCCAGGTCAGCTTGACTCATATATTACAGCTCTATGTCCTTGCTGGTGGCATCAAGGAGGTGGACTTTCAGGAGGAAAATGGCTAACACGACTAACTCAACATCCAACAAGCTGATGTTCAGCCTATTCATGGTCACAAAGATTTTCCTAATATCTGTGCAACTAAGTCTTGCCTGATGTATGCTCCATAACATGGCTGAGTAGCCTAGTTGTTTGTAAGCAAATCAATAATTTCTAATTGATGATGGCAGTGGCTGGCTGAGAACTCTTCCTCTTTAACAACCTCAATCCCTTCCCCTTTTTTCCCTCCCCATCCTCCCACCCCCTAGTCCTCTCCTTAAACATTTCATCTAAAACATCACATTGTTCAAAGGCTTCTACTCTATCACTCCTTCCAGCCCAGTATCTGCTCTTTCACCATGCCTCATCATTCCCTCTGTGCATAGCTGTTTTGTATCTATAAACCATATTACATTTGGCATAATAGAATTTACCATGTCCAATCCAATCCAATTCAATTCAACAAACAGTGAATGTTTACTCTCAGTCAGAACAGAAAAAATATAGGGCTGGTCTCTTTAAGAAGAACTTAGCAGAGGAAGGAGGCATCATGCTTCTGCCAGGGCCTGCAGTCAACATGAAGAGCTGGGAGGACAGAACCCAGCAGACTACATATACTTCCTGAGAAAATCAGAAGCAATTCCTCTCTGGAGGAAAGATGATCAGGATGGCATTGAGGGTTCAGGGAAATAATGGGATTTGGTGAGCACATTTAACATCTTCTTTTATAGACAGGGAGGATGAGCTGAAGAAGGAAGCAAATATACTTAAACTATGCTATATTACAAAATCCCTGACACAGCAGGTGGGGTCTATAAAAGGACCTAGGGAAGCAAAGTCCACGTAGGAGGATCAAGATAACAGATGAGTTTCATAACTAAGATAACTACATTTCACCCAAAGATTTGCTTTTTGTTAATCCTTGCTCTAATATATGCATCGGATTTTAAGTGCAAACCTCTGATCAGTATATACGTTGTTCTTTAATTCAGGATATTTTTGTTGACATCTTCAAAGAGAGTAAGTAGAATGAGTTATATTGGTGCATCTATGAAGTATCCCAACTTTGGGAACTTTCCAGTCTTAACAATAACCATCTATCACCTGATAGCAGTCAAGGGGTCATAAAGTCCATCAAAGCTGGAAGGGACTCAAATGTAATCTCACCAGAATGTCTTTCAAACAACTGAGTCTCCTCTATGCACCCTTTGTGACGGAGTGCCATTTAGCTTCAACTTGAACACTTTTAGTAAGGTCAAGCTCACAGCCCACACACCCACTCCATCCGCAGGCAGCTCTAATTGTTAAAAATTCAATTTCTCTATAGGTCCTGGAGCCCTGGTGGCTCAGTGGTTAAGATCTTGGCTGCTAACCAAAAGACTGGCAGTTCAAATTCCTCAGCCACTCCTTGGAAACTCTACGTGGCAGTTCTACTCTGACATATAGGGTCACTAGGAGCTGGAATCGACTCAACGGCAAAGGGTTTGGGTTTTGGTTATAGGCCCTACCTCTTCCATTGACCCCTGCCTGGAAAATGTCTGTCCTAATCTCTCTGATAGCTCTTCAGAAATAGAATGATTGTGTTCTTTCTCCTTTCTCTAAACTACAAAACCCAATGTCTTCTCCTATTTCTTACAGACAAGATCTTGCCCCTATAAGAAAACTTGATATCATACCCATTGTTCTGTTTGCCTAATTCCTGTTCTTTCTTCTGGAATAGTAGGCTCACCCCTCCCCCTCACACACACATTTCAACTATATAGTTCTAATAAGGTTGCCACGTCTTTACACACCCTTGCCTCCTGGGATATACTTGACTTGCCCAGAGGTGGACTTGTGCTCCAAGCTAGGCCAATCACAGTCTTCCCTGGAGATTTTTGAACTGGAAAATGACAGTAAATCACTCTCTACTGGTAGAAGCCACTGGATGTGACACTTGGCAGTCATGTTCCCTACATGTGAAGGAGGCCAGTCTACGGCCTTCAGTTATAGGTCATACCCCGGTACTCTTCTAATAAATTCTCCATTTTGCTTAAACTAGGTCCAGTTGTATTTCTTTTGCTTACAACCAACAAGCCCTGACAAATATGGGTATGCTCCAGTATATTTCCTTTGTCTCATGGGACCTCTACAACTGAACTCAATATTGGTGAGGGGGAGAGGGAAAAGAAGGGATTAGGAGCGGTACTTTAGCCTGTTAAATTCAGAGAGGAGCAGGCCTAGACCCTCCCTGTTGTGACTGTGTATTCCTGATTTGCAGCTCCTAGTGGGCTTTCCTGACTGTAATGGTTAATGTTATGTGTCATCTTGGCTAGGTATGATTCTCAGTGGTTTGGCAGACCCTGGACTGGGTACTCTCCCTTAATGTAATATAATGTAGTCACATTCCATTGATATGATCTGATGTGATCAGCCAATCAGTTGAAACGGGAGTTTCCTTGGGGGTGTGGCCTGCCTCCAGTATATAAATGGATGTTCTGGCAAACTTGCCCTCTCTCTTTTCTCGTCACGTAACCTCTGGTTCTTGGGATATAAGCCTGCAGAAGTCCCCAGCCTGCCTCCTGACCTACAGATTTTGGATTTGCAAACCCCTGCAACCCCATGAGCCAGCAGAGGCCTTCAGCTTGCCACCTGATCCATGGATTTGGGACTTGCCAGCCCTACAATTGCACAAGCCACTTCTTTGAGGTAAATCTCTCATTATATATTTATATATACATCTCACTGGTTTTGCTCCTCAAGGAACTCAGACTAAGACACCAGCGCAACTTGATGGCTTTCCTTTCCCAGATGAAACCCCAAGACCAGCAGCTGCTGAGTGTGTTCAGTTACTTACCGGGTCATTATACATCTGGATGATGAGTTGTTTCACCCCATGCAGAGTAGGGTGGGCCCACGGAGAGGGATCCAGCCAATGACGGTTCAGGTCAAATCCCATCAGAGAGCACCTAGAAAGCACCCAAAGTAGGCGTCAGTATAGATAGGACAAACCAAGCTTCTTAATTGCCCAAATATAGTTAGGTGTAGGAGTAGTAATTATGTCACTTACCTAGCATTTATTGTTTGCCAGAGACAGTTCTAAGCCCTTTACATGTATTAATTCATTCAGTGCTTTCAACGACCCTGTTATAATAATAATTATATTTATAACTACTACACATATTTATAACAACTATTATAATTCTCATTATACAGATGAAGAAATTGAGTCACTGAAAGGTTTAAAAATATTTCTGTTGAGCAGTCTCACTTCAGAGGCTGTGCTCAGAGACCCATAGACACATGCACATCTCCTACACAGTTGAGTAGAAAGAACTGCTCAAGTCAAAACCCTTGGTGTCCCCTTTATTCCTCTTTGTCTCATACCTACAGTTAATCTACTGTCTCTACCTTCAGAATACATCCAAAATCCAACCCGTTTTTTTATCATCTCCGCTGATACCACCTTGAGCTGGGACTAAGGTTCAAACCAAAAAAAAACACCACCCAAACCTGTTGCTGTCGAGTTGATTCCAACTCATAGCTACCCTATAGGAGAGAGTAAACTGCCCCATAGGGTTTCCAAGGTGCAGCTGGTGGATTTGAACTGCCGACCTTTTGGTTAGCAGCCGTAGCTCTTAATCACTGCACCACCAGGGCTCCAAAATATTGTAATAATCCTACTTGATCTTCTTGTTTCTACCCTTGCCCCCTCACCCCACATCCCATGCCCCATTCTCCACATAACAGCAAGAATAATCTTCAAACATAAGTCAGATTCTGTCCCTCTTCTATTCAAATGGTTCTCTGTTATACACACAGTAAAAGCTGAAGTCCTTAAAAAAGACTACAAGGACCCTCATGGTCCACCCTCTGTTAACTTCTCTGACCTCAGCTCCTACCACTGTCTCTTGTTTGGTCCGTGCCAGATACTGGCCTCCTCACTGTTCCTCCAAAACACCAGGTGGTTCCTACCTCCTGGCTTGTGCACAGGCTGTTCCTTCTGACTGTAGTTCAGACTGCTTAGGCATCAATCCTGATGTCACCTCTATTCTTGAATGAGTTATTTAAAACCACTTTGTGCTTCAGTTTCCACATATGTAAAATGGGAATAGTAATTCCCATCTGGAGTAATTCCCATCTGGAGGGCTCCTCTTCCTCCAGATATCTGAGTGATTCCTTCTCTCACTTATTTCAAGTCTTTGCTCAGAAGTGACTCATTCAGTGACGCCTACCCTAACCAACTTTTCTGTGCTTAACTCTTCCTTGGGTACATTAAATAACTTCACTAGGGTAAGTGCAGTTGTGACCTTTGTTTCTCCCCCTCTTCTTCCTCCTCCTCTTCTTTCTCCAGATCTGCCCAAATCCCTGCCTGTACTTGGGAAGGGATAACTCCTCCAGGACTCTGTCCCCATGCCTCTACCCCACGAGCCTTCACACACTGTAGGTTCTCTCCAGGCCAGCCCAAGCTGAGGTACAGCTTCCAGAAACACTGTGCTTGCTCACAATTCACATTATTCTTGTCATCTGGTCTCTTCTCCAGTCCATCCTCCTCTTGTCACAGAATGAGTTTTCTGCACAGATCTGCCCATCTTGCTTGCTTGATCAAGATTCATCTATGGCTCTCCATTGTCTATAGAATAAAATTCTGCTCTTTGCCCCAAATTCAAAACTGATGGTTGCCATATACCTCTCTTCTGTCTGCCCCCAAATGTCTCCTTTTTTCTCCTATATCCCTCTATCCTACTAGTTTATCCCCCCATCGTATCCTTCAGTCTACTCTCACTATTTCCTTAAGCAGTATGGTTTAGCCTCCTCTCAGTTTATTAAATTTGCATCTTCACCTTTCACCCTTATTAGCAAAATAAAGAACCCCACTGAGGACCCAGCTCTCCTTAAAGATGGTTGGGGTAAGGATGGGGGTAAGTAATAATTTTTCCTTAGTCTTTAAACTAAGAATAGCAGGAAACCTGTGGGAGAATAACTAATATTTCATAGAGGCAATGGAGAAAGGTTATATTGAGGAGAAGCCATTTGATTTGGGCCTTGTTAAATGAGTATAATTTTGCCAGGCATTAGGGATAAAAAGAATAGCATAAGCAAAGGAAGGAATTGTGAAGCCATCCAGGATGCTGGGAAAATGGTGAACAATTTGGCTTGGCTGGGTCATAGCGCATGTGCTGGGGAGGTGGTGATGATGAAGCTGTAAATGTATGAAATGTAAAGGGCCTTGAATGTCTGTCTTTGTGTTGCTGTATTTAGATCAACCACGTGCTAATGGGGGGCTTCCCACTGATTGCAGAGCAAGCGCAGAAACAGCCCTACATGCCAGTTAAAACATTATCATCACGATCAAGGAACATTTACTAACATTACTTTGTCCTAAGAACTAAGTACTTTACTAAGTACTAAATACTTTATCTCAATTAATCCTGACAACAATCTTGTGAGAGTGGTGCTATTATTATGCCCATTTGCAGATGTGGAAACTGAAGCATAGTGAGGTTATAAATAACTTGCTCAAAGAAAGAAGACATCAGGATTTGTGCCCAAGCAGTCTGACCGCAGATCTTGAGCTCTTAGCCCCTTTTCCACATTATAATATCATGTAGTATGTGCTTAGTATGTGCCAGGTGCCACGCTAAGATCTTTCTGTGGGTTTTGGCACTTACATACGACACTGATAAATTAATTTCAGACTGCTGTTTAAATATCCAGCCCTCTAACCTGGGCTTGTTCCACTGCAGCGGGTATTAGATTGGGGTTAAAACCAGGTCATCTAAACTCTCCATCCAGGCCTCTCAGTCTCACTCATGTTGTTTTTCCCTTATGCTTCTGGTCTCAAAGAAATGGTGATTCCTAAAGGGTATAAATCCATCCCTCCTTGCTTTCTCCTTCCATCTCCTCCCTCCCTCCACTTGAATGGAGACTCTATAGTATGCCAGGTGCTGGGCTGGGCTCTAGGGAAAGCTAAGAGATGAATCACACCTCCTAGGCCCTCAGAAAGCTCATGATCCACTGCAGGAAATAGACTCCTTGAGTACATAGCTCCTTTGAGAAAAGGCAAAGGAAAAAGGCTTTCTTTTTCTCTTCCCACTCCCCACACCGTGGGATGAAGGACATAGCAGAAGATTCACAGACTCCCAGAATCCCCAAAATTTTAGTCCTGGAGTTGAATTAAAGCTCTTCAGTTGTTTATGTAGTTTTATACTGCCTTTCCCCTCCTTCATCCAGCACTGAGAGCCATATGTTTGGATTTGAGGAGCTACTAACGACCTCCTCATAAACACTCTTTCCTTAATCCCCTTGGAAGGACTGGGAGAACCATATTTCCCCATCACCATGCTGTTTTTGCTCCAGTGAGAGCCAGAGAAAAATAAAGTGGAAATTTCCAGGAACATCCATTGGCTCCACAGGCAGATTCTTCCCAGGCGTCCTGCCTAGCTTCTCTGCCTTCATGGGGTCAGGCCAGCCTGACATAGTAAGTGTGACCATTATCCCCCACTCACATCCCTGGTGAATATGGGGATAATGCCCTGTGGAATGCAGAGGACATATTCCCTGCTCAGCTGCTGGCTTACTATATGACCTTAGGTAAGTCCCTTGCTCTCTTGAGGCCTAAGTTTCCCCAGTTACAAACAGAGAAGGGGAGGTGACCACAAACTTTTGAAGGGCCTTTTCCAACATGGACTGCTCTTCCCCTACCCCTACCCCCCAGTGAAGAGGAGGTTGCAAGGCAAATTACCACAGCAGTGATGCCTGGATACCAACCCTTCTTTCTGCTCCAAAGAGAGCGGTCACTGATACTCACCTTCCAGTCCAGGCAAGTTACTTCCTGACCTTGAACTTGTAAGTATATCTCATTTTCATTTGCCACTACAATATGAGCATTTTTCTTTGTTCTTAAGCTGTTTGTAACTACCATTTTAATAGTATTGTAATATGACATATTTTCCCATTGTATGAATGCCCCATAATTCATTTAGCCATTTCCCCACTGTGGCACATTTATGTTGTTTTTAATATTTCACTATTTTAAAAATTCACTATTGAATACTTCTATCCCTAAAGTTGTTTCTACATTTCAGAATTTTTCCTTAGAACAGTTTCCCAGAAGTAGAATTACTTAGTAAGAGGATTTACTGACCATAAGATAACTTTTTAAAATGAAAAAAATAAAAATAAAAATCCTCAACATAAAAAATAGAAGAAAAAAAAAAAGGTAATATCATCTTCCTGTCACCCAAGGATAACCAATGTTAGCCTTTTGATGCATATCTTGCCATCTTTAATAATATCTAATAATAACTATAGCAGTAGCTGACATTTAATGAGCACTTTCCGTATGCCCTAACAGGGATCATCTAATTAATTATCACATTTATCTCATAAAAGATCTGTATTCCCATTTTACAGATGAGAAAACAAAGGCTTAGAAAAATCAAATAACTTCCTCTAAGGCCACAGAGCTACTATGTGGTAGTTATAATTTGAACTCAGGGTCAGCCTAATTCTCAGAATCCAAAATCTTAAGAATTACTCTCCTAACTGCAGTCTCTTCTAAAGACACCAAACTATCTTTCAGAAAGAAAACACTTGTATTTAGAGTCTTGAACTACAGACTTATACATGCAGTTGTTAAATATTCTGGTCTGCACTATAACTACTCTTTTTTTTTTTTTAGGTTCAACCTTACTTCTTTTTTTTAATTGTCATAAAAATATAGATAACACAACATTTGTCAATAAAACATTTTTCACATGTACAATTCAGTGAGACCAAGTACATCAATTATGTTATGCAAACATCCCCAATATCCACTGCCAAATTTTCCATCACCATAAACAGAAACTCACTGCTTCCTAAACAATGATTTCCCCTTCCCTCCTGGTAACCACTATTAAACTCTAATCTCTAGACATTTGCCTATTCTAGGTATTTCATATGCACTATAACTCCTTTCCACCAC